TATTATGCCATACTAAAACTATACTACAGAAAGAAAAAGGATACATCAGAAGGTTTAACAATAAAAAATAATAAAACCCTGTGACTCCTCAGAGCCTTGACACAGATGGACCACAACTGGTCATTAATTAAATTAAAACAGTTCACATGGAACCAATCAAACATTTACCTGTTGTTGGCGAACAATGCCCAATCCAAATTCCAAAGCAGCAAACACAGGAGCAGCAATCAAATAATTATTGTTTGCATTCCTCTCTGAGGCTTCTCATCTTCCCAGGAGAAGAAATCCTGGGCAAAGAGGATTTTTCAGATAATATCATGCTGACACCCTTTCTCCTCAGGGGGAACTGACCATGACCAGCGAGATGGAGACCATGCAGAACTCCCTCTTCTTTGGCACCGTGCCTGAGTCCTGGGTGAGGAGATCCTACCCTTCCACAGCCAGCCTTGGATCATGGTTTGCTGACCTGCTGGCCCGCAGCAGCGAGCTGGAAGCCTGGACCAGGGACTTCTCCTTGCCCTCCACGCTGCGGCTCGGAGGGTTCTTCAACCCCCAGGCCCTCCTGACAGCCATCATGCAGAGCACAGCCCGCAAGAACAGGTGGCCCCTGGACAGGATGGCGCTGCAGTGTGACGTGACCAAGAAGAGCAGAGAGGATTTTGCCAGTGCTCCTCGTGAGGGGGCCTATGTGCACGGGCTGTTCATGGAGGGAGCACGCTGGGATGTTCAGGTGAGCTCTGCAAGGCTCTGGGGCTGAAAGAGAAGCCACAGGTGTGGCCCTGTGTAGGAGCATCAGGGGTAGGATGGTCGGGATGGACAGAGACCAGAGATCTCTGCATCCAGGGCTGGAACTTGGGGTGTATTGCAAAGGGCCTGGGTGCAGGGCCCTGCTGGGAGCTGCCAGCCACAGCTCAGAGCAGGACCGAGAGAAAAGAGGGGGAGAGAGGATGAGAGGGTAAAGGGTAAGAGAGTAAAAGGGCAGGAGCGTAGAAGGGTAAGAGAGTAAAAGGAGTAAGAGAGCAAGGTTCCTGTTACAATACAATAAATCTTCTTCTGTGTTGAATATTCTAATTCTCACTAACCAATCTAGTACAAGATACAAATCCTATAGCATTTACATACAGCCTAGAAGAATCATTACATTTTCATTCTGTGTTACATTTTAAACCCTAAAATCTCTTCTTTGGGCCCCTTCTGCCAAGCTAGCAGGGTCCACTCCCTTGGAGCTGTCCGCAAGCAGAGGGTGTTGTTCCATCAAAAGGGGATCACCTTCAGCCAGCCACACCATTGTTTTCCAGTTGTTCAGTAACTGAGGGATCTCAAAGCTTGCTTTCGTTTCAATCTCACTTATAGTTTCCATATTCTCCAAATCTTTTGCCAGGCAATCGTATTTATAAGGCTTTCCTGTTTCATCTTCCCCAACAGCCCTGAAATTCTGATCCAACACTCTCTACTTATTTGTCTCTTCTGATCCTACGCTCTCCACTAATTTTTTATAAATCATCTTCCTCTCTGCAATGGTTTTCGATGAAGGGTAGGAAATTAGGGAAAGCTGTGCCCTCCATGATGGATGCCATTTCATCACATCTCCTTGGGCAGTTCAAAGCTCCAGGCTGTTTTTTATTTTGCTCTGGAAATGGCCTGAATTGGGTCTGGGAAGCCACAGGCAGCCAGGAACGTTGGCAAGGGCTCTGCTGGGTGATGGCAGTGAGGATCTCAGTGGGTCAGCTCAGATCTCTGCTCTTGGAGTCTGGGCTCTGCTCACACAGACAATCCCAGAGCCCTGTGCAGCTCCCAGCTCTGCCCCCACAGCTCCCTGGCTGTTCCCTTCCTCACACAACCCTTGGGAGATCACAGTCCCTGCCACAGGGAGCACTGGATTTCTGCTGCCCTAAAAACCTGACAGAAATCAGCTGCACACACCAGAACAGAGACAGCTGTTAAAATTCCCAGTCCTGCATATCAAATAGTCCATTTAAGAACATTCCAGCGCCTGCTGTTATGTTTTCTTTGTCACTATGACCAGAAAATGAGTTCTGGCTGGGTTTTACCAGCTGGAAGTGGAGAGTGAGAGGTTTTGGGAATGCAAAGCCAGAAATCTTTGGGAGATACTTGGCTTCTCCCCTCTGCCTCCCTCCAATAACTGGTCTGGATGATTGCATCCAGCAATGGGATTTGTCTTCAGAGACCATCCCAACACCAGGAAATGTGGTTTTCTGATTACATTTTCCTTGTGATTGAAAGATACTGAGCAATTATGTTCATGGAGCCATTCATAATCTCTGGGTATCATGCTTCAATTTATTTCAGAAAGGAAAAGGATATTTTTATGGGCTGCTGCTCCCACTGAAATATCTTTTCTACCTAGTGGAACTATTCATTTTACCTATAATCCAATGAGTACCAGTGTGCATTAATGGATGCAGGACTTTTAAAACAGGTGCACAGCTCTTTTGGGTTGTCTACTCCTTCCAAATTAATCCTCTGATAAAAATGGCAGGCCACGTTTAGAAGAATTCCTCTGGGGAGCACCTCCACTTTTAAAAGAATATTTCACATTTAGGTTGTGCCTCCAAAAAAGGAAAGAGTCCTTCTATGTTCTGCTACTCACATTTTTCTATTTATTTAAACATTTATGTTTGCCCTTGGGTGTCTTAAATTTATAAAACATTCATTACAAAACAGCAGGCAGCTATTAGATGAAATGAAACTAAGCAGATTATTTTGGGTGCAAATGATCTCTTGCTGCAGCCCTGTTAAAGTCACTGGGACTCAGTGACAGTCAGAGGGAGGCTGTGGCTGGGGACACTTGGAGACCTTTCATCTCAAGCTGCTGGCTGATCCTTGGCTTGCTTTCTCTCTGCAATAGAGAGTTTGATGCCAAGGGTGTGCCCTGCCCTCTCCAAGGGAGTTGGAGTGTGATGGGACAAGGGCAGGGGTGGGTTTCACACCCATTGAGCTTTGGCAGCTGTGCACAGCACAGCCCCTGCCATGGAACCACAGGATCCCAGGCTGGCTTGGGCTGGAAGGGACCTTAAAAATCAGCTCATTCCACCCCCCCCATGGGCAGGGACACCTTCCTCTAACCCAGGCTGCTCCAAGCCCTGTCCAGCCTGGCCTTGGACACCTCCAGGCATGGGACAGCCACAAGGCAGGGCCTCACCACCCTCACAGGGAAGAGTTTTTTCATTCCCCTTGTGCAGCTGAAGCCACTGACCTCATGACTCAGGCACCACCTTGGAGTGCTCCTTGCAGGCTCCGTGTCCCCTTCCCTGCTGGCTCCGTGTCCCCTTCCCTGCTGGCTCCATGTCCCCCTTCCCTGCTGGCTCCATGTCCCCTCCCCAGCTGACCCCAAAGGGGCTGTGGTGTAAGGAACCTGTGCTGGGACCCTGTCTTGGTTTGAAAAGACAGGTATCTGCTGAGGAAGGCAGGAGCCTCCCCTAAAATAGAAAATGTAAACCTCCTCTCTCTGAATTATTATAAATTTGAAATTAAGGGCCTCTCAGGCAAAAATATGGGAGCAGGAATAACAGCTCTTTATTAGGGAAGAAAATAAAAATAAAATAAACAATGCAGTAAATCAAAATAACACTGATAGAGTCAGAATAGGACCTGATACTTTGTGGGTCAGGGTGTTGGCAGCAGTCCCATTGGAATTGTGGCTGCAGCCCTCCTGCAATGTCAGGCGTGATTCTGGTGGAGCAGGGATCCTGTAGAAAGGTAGAGTCTTCCTCTGAAGGTCCAGTGGAAGAGGCAGTTGCTGTTCCTCTGGGAATGCAGTGGAAAGGCTGCTCTGGTGTCCCAAAAACTCAGATCATATCCAGGTAGGAATGCTTGAAACCTCAGATTATATCCAGGTAGGAATGCTTGGCTCCTCCCCCTGGGCGGAGCATCTCCCAGTGGGATGATGGAATTTTATCATCCATGCAGTGTCACTCACTGGCCCATGAACAGAGGCTAGTTAATAATTAATGACCTATTAAGAGAAGAGATCTCCTGGAGGGAGGATTGCTTGTGGAAGAGATAAAGAAAACTGCGCCATGAACAGAAGATAACTGCCCCACTCCACCCTCAGTTTCCTGCTGGGATAAGCAGAAGTGAGGGATCCTTTAGCAGCTGAGGCTGAGCTCTCCAGGCTCCACAGAATGATGGTTCTGCACCACGAGGGCTGTGCTGCTAGTCAGGAAGAACTGCTTTCAGAGCAGAATTAATTTTCTGATGATGAGAGTGATAAAAAATGCAAATGAGAATCAGCCCAGACATAACAAAATGATATCTTACATGGAGGTACCTTGGGAAGATTTCAGCTCTTGTTAACCCAGAAACAGGTAGAATATCTCTTGGAAATTACATTTGAAGTATTCTCAGCAGTAAAAAAAAAGAGAAAGACTTGATTAAAACCCAGTCTCAGGAATGAAAGGTGTGAATTTAAGAAGAGTGCATAAAAATGTTTCATAAATAGCTACTTTGCAAGGTATTATACGAATTATTTAATGTTTGTTCAGCACGTTGGAAATATAAAATCCTAAATGAGAGTTGGATTTTTCATAGCTGAACATAACAGATGGCATTAGTACAATTAAACCGAGGTGTGTGGCAAGGGGGATGATTTTTCTTTGCTCGTTACAGAACTAAATAAACTGCTGGAGAGGCTGAATCTCACCCCACAGCTCTGATCCGAGAGCATTTGGAATAATGATGATATGTGAAGCTCAGCTGCAGTGAGAGGCAGTTTCTTTAGTGCTGAAAAGTTTCGTTTCCATTTCCCTGTTTATTTTCATTTGGTCTCTCTAGCCTCCATTAGGCAGTTTTCTCTGGAAATGGATTGATGTGCAGGGTATTTTATTGTCATGAAGAGAGAGAGAAAATGTCAGAGAGACCCAAATTAGAGAAACAAACTTGATTTCTTGCCCTGGCAGGGTTCTCTCCCTCTCCTGCAGTGGGCAGCCTGCTGGGCAGGGCATTGCTTGGAGGAGAATAATGGGACTTGATATTTATTGATGATATTCCCTCAGAAAAGTCATTTTGAATTCTCTTGCTTGCATCATGAGAGTGGGAATAAGCCTGTGCTGGCTTTTGGGGCTGTTCTCCATCCCCGTGGTTCAGGTGTCCAACCTTTTTCCCACCACAAGCAGCACCTCCCACAAGGTAATTCTGGTCTGAGAGATGATGATCTCTGAGAAAGAGATGCATGAGAATAATCCCAGGATCACTGAGGTTGGAAAAGATCCCCCAGCCCATTCAGGCCAAGCTGTGCCCAATGCTCATCTTGTTCCCAGCCTATCCAGGCCAAGCTGTGCCTGATCCCCACCTTATCCCCAGCCCCAATTACTGAGTGCTACATCCAGGTGTTCCTGGGACACCTCCAGGGATGGGCAATCCAAACCTCCCTGGGCAATGTTTAATCACCCTTTCAACTAAGAAATCCCTGCTGATGTCCACCCAGAGCCTGCCCTGGCCCAGCTCGAGGCCTTTTCCTCTTGGTCCTGTCCCTGTTCCCTGGCAGTAGGACAAGAGGAAATGGCCCCAAGCTGCATCTCAGTAGAAACCACGAGAAGTGAAACTTTGTTGATAATATGGCTGGACAGGGCCAGGGACACTGTCCCCACACAAATTCAGCTTGGATGTGAGGGTTTGGGCACCTGGTGGGAGTGCAGGCAGCTGGAGCTTTGAGATTATCTACTCTGGTGAGTTGAGGAGGGTCATGGTGAGACAGGGAGTTGTTGGATCCAGACCTCCTTCCTCAAAGAGGCTCATCCAGCCCCCTGACCCTGGAGAAGCTGTTTGTACTTCCCCAGCAGGAGCAGCTTGGATAAACATCACATGGGTTCAGGTCCATCAGCTGGTGGACACCTTGGGGATGTGACCTTTGTCTCCTTCTCTCTGCAGGCCGGGACCATCACGGAGGCCAGGCTCAAGGAGCTGACCCCAGCCATGCCTGTGGTGTTCATCAGGGCCATTCCTGATGACAAGCAGGACACCAGGGGCTTGTATCCGTGTCCTCTGTACAGAACACGCCAGAGAGGCCCGACCTATGTGTGGACTTTTAACCTGAAAACCAAGGAGAACCCATCCAAGTGGGTGCTTGCTGGGGTGGCCCTGCTGCTCCAGGTCTGAGGCACCAGCACAGGCCCTGCTCTGCAAACCCCTCACAATGTCACAGCATCTAAACAGTTCAGTGCTGAGATTAACAAATTCCATCTCTCTGATGGACTCCCAGGTTATCTCTGTGTCCTGCGGATGTGACCCAACAGGGCCTGTGAGGAGGGGACAGAGGTGCAGGGGACACGGCCCAGGTTGGTGGCTGCTGTACATCAATATCCTGTAATTCCTGCACTGCTGCACTCTCGGGTTTGGTGTTGCTGAAATGGCTCCCCAGGTATTAAAAAGTCTTTTTTCCCAGCCCTGTGACAGAAGAAGAAGTTGGGATTCCTCAGGTCTGCTTTTCAAGGTTGTTTATTTTCTCTTATCTGTTACATTCTCTCTCTGACCTGCTGAGATTTGTCCTGCAGGCTGGTTTGTGGCACAGTCCCTGCCCTTGGGGCAGTGTTGGCTTTTTATACTGAGAACTACATGTACTTTATTTACAATAATTTTCCAACACTTATCACCTATGTTAGACAGTCTGTCTCTGCTCTAAACCAATCCAGAAGTGTCACCATCACAGCAGAAGATGGAAGACAAGAAGAAGAAGAAGGACAGGACATGCCCAGATTCCTCCATCTTGCCTCTTGAACCCCCATTCTAAAAACCCCAAAATTCTACTTTTTCACCCTGTGACAAATTCACTATCATTCTACTCAAACACTTGTGGCTTGTAACTCTTCACACATAGTTGCTAATTGTTTCCATGTGGTAAAATCAAAGGCACAGGTGTTTCTGACTCTGTGCCAAGGTCTCTGAGCCCCCTGCCAGGGTCTGGAGTCCTCCAGGACAGCCAGAGCAATGTCCTGGGATCTGACACTGCACTGCAAGCTCCCAGCCCAGAGTCTGATACACCACACCCAGAGAGTGATAAACTTAAATCTGGTTTTTATTTCTCTTCATGATCCAAAGCAGTTTTAAAATCATCCATCAGTAAAATCAGCAGCCTTCTCCAAAACACTCAAATAGTCCAGTGGCTTGTGAAATCCTCGAGAATTTATTTATTTTCCCTCCATGAGTGTTTCTTTGTGGTGTGTGTGATGTTGGAAGATGGGAGGTGAGCAGATGTTGTGGTTATCAGCTGTGTGTTGCTAACACCCGTGTAAATCTTAGAAACACTGGAAATGCTGTTAATATCCAGTGTGCTCATTGGAATCAATAGTGAAAGCACAGCACAGGGAGGATTTAAGTGAATATGTTGTGATGATAGATACTTACTAATAAAAGTAATTGTTCCTGGAATGGTCTCTGGAAGCTGCAGGTTTACTGAGGTGAGGAGAGCACAGGGGCCAGGTGGGAGGAACACACCTGGCACACACTTGGCACACACCTGGCACACACCTGTGTGGGTCACTGAGCTTTAATCCCAGCTGGAATGGGAGAGCAGTGAGGAGTGGAGTGTCCCTGGTGCAGAGGGCACACAGGGGTGGCTGGGTGGGCACCGTGGCAGTGACAGTCACACAGAGCATCTCTGAGCACACAGAGCTGGGAATGGCACCTGGGAAAGGGCTGGTTCCTGGGAAAATGGGCTTTTCCTGGGGAAATGGGTTTTTTTTCTGGGAAAAATTTGGCTTTCCCTGGGGAAATAGGCTTTTCCTGGGGAAAGCTCTCTGCTTGGAGTCTCACACAGGCTCTGGGTGACATTTGCTGTCCCTTGTCACAATAGAGATGGACAAGACACTTGTTTCCTCATGCAGAATAGCCAAACCTTTATTCACATAACCCATATGTTTAATATTGTTCATGTCGTTTGTGCTGGTGAATGCTTTGCATGTTAAACAAACAGGGTTTTTTTTCCACAAGCTTTTCCCATGGCTGTGTTTATGGGGCATGTCCTCCCCAAGCTCTGTCCTGCTCCTGCCTTGCAGCACCTGGAGGCACCATTCCCTCATGGATTTGCATCTCCAAGTGCCTTTACCTCTCAGCCTGAGAAGTTTCACACTTTTACCCCATGGAAGGGAAGGAGCTGGGGGCATGGGGGGGGGGGTGGCTGCTCCTGGGGTTACACCAGGACAGCATTTCGGTGGGCACAGTTTGGTTGCTCAGAGCCCCATGTCAGACTGAGTGGTTTTAGGGGTGGCTTTGGCATGGGGCAGAAGTTGTGCCCAACTCTCTGCCAGCCTAGGGGATCAGCTTTGCTCCCTCTGAGTCATCCAGGAGGGTGAAGCCCTCAGGCTTGGCAGGAGATCCAGAGGAACTCGCCTGCCCAGAGCAGCACAGCAGGAATAAGAACATCCAAAACCCTTGTCCTTGCAGTCCTGTGTGGCAGACATCTTTTCATGTAAAAGCCTTCCCTCAGGATTTTTCCTTCCTGAGAGAAGCTGAGAGGCCTCAGGGACAAAATGTAAACAATGATTGTCTGCTGCTGTGGAATGCATCAGGTGGATTTTTGATTGGCCCATCTTGGATGTTTATAATTAATGGCCAATCAAGGCCCAGCTGTCTCAGAGTCCAAGACAGAGCCTTTTTTTATCATTCTTTCCTTTCTATTCTTAGCTAGCCTTCTGACGAGAACTTTTTTTTCTATTCTATTAGTGTAGTTTTAATATAATATATATCTTAAAATAATAAATCAAGCCTCCTGAAACATGGAGTCAGATCATCGTCTCTTCCCTCGTCTGGAAACCCCTGTGAACGTCGTCACAGTTCTGGAGAATGACAAACTTCAGGATGAAGGGAAGGAGGGAAAACTCTCTGGTAAGAACTTTGTTTAATTGCTAGGCACTGTCCCCAAGGCACAGCCCCAAAAAATTAATGATGAAGGAGCTGGTTATGGCTTAGCAAAAGCCATTTGCAAATATCTAATGGAAGGGGGAGAGCTGTCTTAAGCTGGATTCTTTAAATTGCCTCTAACCCATAAATGAGGCACCAGGGTCTGTAGAGTATCCCCTATAATGAGTGCCTGCTAGAAGAGGTCTGTTAGCTGGGGAAAGCTTTGCTATTAAATTAAATCCCTCCCAATTTAAATTAAAACCTGCCAATTAGATATGAAATGCAAACTGGTCACTTCCCACAGCTCTGCAAAGTTGGGCACATTAAATTCTCTGTGTATTTCACCATGCAGGAGGTTGAGATGCATAAACAGAGCACTGCTGAATTAAACACAAAAGAGAAGGACTGGAAGGAAGTTCATTGTGCTCCAGGTAATCCATCATGCTGAGTTAGTCCTTCACTGGGACATCTTCAAGGCTGCTTTTACCAGAGGGGACCTTGTGGCTCTGCACAGCTCCTTCCAGGAGGGGACAGCCAGGGGGTTCAGGCTCTGTTTCAGGGAACAGGGACAGGAGCAGAGGGAACGGCCTCAGGCTGGACCAGGGCAGGCTCAGGGTGGGCACAGCAGGAATTTCCCATGGAAAGGGAGGTCAGGGATTGGAAATGCCCAGGGAGGCTTGGAGTGCCCATCCCTGGGGATGCCCAAGGAATTCCTGGAGGTGGCACTGAGTGCTCTATGCTGGGGACAGGGTGGGGATCAGGCACAGCCTGGCCTGGGTGGTCTTTGAGATCTTTTCCAACCTCAGTGATGCTGTTTGTGACTCCACGTGATTCTCAGTGCTCTGGATGTGGGATTTCCTGCCATTCTGGAGAGTTTTACTGTCCTAAATGTTGCAGACAACTTTTATGAAAAATCCTTTCCTTAGGATTTTTTTCCTTCCTGAGAAGGTGAGAGGCCCCAGGAACAAAAGGTAAACAATGATTTTCTGCTGCTGTGGAATGCAACAGGTGCATCTGTGATTGGCCCATCTTGGATGTTTGAAAGTAATGGCCAATCACAGTCAGCTGGCTCAGCTCTCTGTCTGAGCCACAAACCTTTGTTATTCATTCCTTTCTATTCTTAGCTTACCTAGCCTTCTGCTGAAACCTTTTCTTCTATTCTTTTAGTATAGTTTTAATGTCATATATATCATAAAATAATAAATCAAGCCTTCTGTAACCTGCAGTCAAATCCTCATCTCTTCCCTCAACATAATACCCCTGTGAACATGGTCACACCTAAACTTCATTCTTCTTCTCTTTTAAAACCTTTCCTCCTTTTCCCAGCACAGCAGGGCCTCTCTCTGCTCAGTGTTGCCCTCCAAGATGCCCCTGGACATCCAGGAAAGGAGAAGCTCAGTGACTCCCCAGGCACTGCCTGCTCTTTCCAGAGCCACAGCCTGAGCTATTCCCTTGTCAGCTGAAGAAGAATGGTCTGTTGACAACAAAATGGATCCGATTGTTTTATTATATATATCTCCCTGCATAATTCACCAGTTGGGCAGGCAGGGTAGTGGGGAGATATTTATAGATACTAGAAATGTCACCAGGGTGCTCATTCTTCATCCTTTGAAAATCATCACAGGAAAGAGTTGGCTGCAAAATGCTACAAGAGGACGGTGAATAATTTGATGCTTTAGGGGGTGGAAAAAAAATCTTGACAGGCATGAGATTTTTCCAGCCATATCTGCCCAAACCAGGCAATTAAATCCAGCTGGACAGGCTCTTTATTAGGAGTGATTCATTAGTCAAAGGTCAAGGCTTTCTATCCATAAGCTCTTGGAGACAGCTGCCCACTTGGCACTGCCATGTGCACCTTCCTCTGCTCTCCTGGGCTGGGCTGGAGGATCCCAGCATGGGCAGGAGCTGGAGCTGCTGGAGGAGCCCATGGAGGCTCCAGGATGATGCCAGGGATGGAGCAGCTGTGCTGGGAGGAGAGGCTGGCACAGCCGGCATTGCTCACCTGGGCAGGAGGAGCTTTGGGGTGAGCTCAGTATGACCTTACAGGGCTGAAGGAGCTGCAGCAAAGATGGAGAGAGAACACTGACAAGGGATGGGGACAGGACCCAGAAAATGGCTTCAGACTGAACCAGGGCAGGGCTGGATGGGAGATTGGGAATGAGGAATTGTTCCCTGGCAGGGTGGGCAGGCCCTGGCACAGCTGTGGCTGCCCCTGGATCCCTGGCAGTGCCCAAGGCCAGGCTGGGCAGGGCTGAGAGCACCTGGGACAGTGGAAGGTGTCCCTGGGACAGTGGGAGATGTCCCTGCCATGGCAGGGGTGGCACTGGGTGAGCTTTGATCCCTTCCAACCCAATCCATTCTGGGATTCTGTCATTTTCAGGCTGTTTAATAACAGGGAGCACATGGCTGCTCACTTTTACATAAAGCAGGGGACTCTGGGGAGCGACTTTGCCATCACTGGAACAAGTCCCACCAGGCATTGTCCAGGCCCATCCTGAGGGTGCTCTCTGCCCTACAGCCCCTCCATCCTGGCCCCACTCCTTCACCACTGAGCTCACCACACCTGCTTTACCCCAGCCCTTCCTCCAGCACCCAGCACAGCCCAGTTGGGCAAACAAGGCTTTAAACAGCCAGGTTGGTGTTTG